CCTGACGCAAACTCCAAACGTCCGGCAAAGTAATTTCACCTTGAAAACAGTTGTTTGTTGATACTAAGTCGTCCATTTGTTGTCAGCGCGCACATGGAGGCTTGGGTACGACTTTCTCCCAATTTAGAATTCATGACTGCGTGGGACTAAGTCTGCGTTTCCTGCCACCTCCACGTGCTTTATTGTTTGGGTTTTGCTGATTGGGCAAAAGATCGAATCGTTGGGAATTCATAAGTAATGATTTACCTATCTAAGTGCTCAAAATGCTTTTGTTGTGGTAACTGTAGCACTAAACTAAAAGCTTTTTGACATCAAAATATCTCTGGTGGTCTGGGCAGGAGTGCTTTCCATTGTGACCACTGATGGCTTAGCTATGATAAATTTACTTAAAGTAATAGTCCTGTTATTCGTTTTTTTTTCATGTACGAGGATCCAGTGTGTGCACAATAAGAAAACACAATTTTTTTAAGTACCTCAAATCAGTTTTGATACAAAGTCTCATTTCTAAGCAAGAAGAATGACTTATCACTTATCAGTGCCTGGATGTTTGCTGATACATTAGCCAATGCTGAGATTCTACTTACGAACTGTTTATTTCGTTAAATCTTTTTTATTCAAAGAAAGGGTAATTTGTAGTTTCACATGAAACCTTCTGTATAATCCCGAATTTTAACGCCAACGCAATAAATATTTTCTAATTGTTCTTAAATGTGTTCTAATTTTCCCGAGCAACCGCATTCGAGACCCTATGATTTCCTGTGTGCCAGTATTTTTGTGTGATTACCGTCTCTTTTCTTCAAACAATCCACAATCGTGGCCATGCCGAAGTTGTAACCTTGACGCAACTTTTGTAAATTAAGAGACTTCTTTGTAACAATTACCAGCTATGGTATGTCTTCCTGTCCGCATTCTTCAATTATACAGTAAGTCGCTCATCATCCGACGCATCAACAGCCTTAAAGGCTGGGTGTTTCCAGTCTCTTTTGTCGTTGAATGAGTCATTAAATGTTAGTATAGATTCCTGGACAGAATTTTGTCCGCAGTTGCACTGGCATTGTATCCCCCCCTTTTACACCTATTCTCTATAGCGTGTTCGCAAATAATCAATATCAACGGTAATGTATGCAAGGTGTTCTAGCCAATCATTTGTTGACTAGCCTCATTGGAATTAACCGATGCTCAAATTGCTCAGGTCAAGAAGTTGACCCCGAGTTATATGGGTAGGCAGATTGATTCACAATGATGTGAATAGTACTTTAGGAACGCATAATGGAACAGTCTTTGCTCCCAGCCTCCTGAGATTTACGTAGAATTTTACGGGTAGAATTATTTCGATATTATTTCCTTGGGACATTGGGAAACCAATACAAGAAACTTAGGCAGGTACGAATACCAGTTTTACTTATTTCTTCATCTTAAAGATTTAAAAAAGGGAATCAATTTTCAGGCAAGTCAATGGCTCCTCCAATTGATCGTAGGCAGCGTGCCTGCGTTGGCGCAGCGGGGTCAGGGGTTTGTAGGTGAAACCATAAATGCATCAATGTAACTTACGACGCCCTCTTTCTCCCCTGGTGAAATGTAAACTATACAAAAAACACCAACTTTTCCACCTTTGAGTAACAATTGAAATCAACGAGGAACACTGTCTTGAAGAATTGGCCCACGCAGATAGAAACATAACTAACTTTCATTTCTAACGTATTCCACATCATTGAATTTGACAATCGGTGGCCCTCCATTCAACTCTTCCATGGCTACCCTTAAGAGACATTTTCGACCAGAAATCTTTACGGCGGAGAAGTGTGTTAGCCATTATCTTGCCAGCATGGTACATCCTTTTCCTCATTGTTAACAATTAAGTGCATAGTTTTATCGAAATTTAGCCTGACGAATTTGTGTTTCTTGGGAAGCAGAGCCATTAAATGGCCAATTTTACGCCTTCTGTTGACTGCCCGCTTAGTTGTTGCAAATATTGCCTTAATGCAAAGATGCAAAATTATACAAAAATGAAACAGGCATCGTGATGAGACTTTTTACTATCATTCTCCCTATCGCTCCTTTCAATGCCTTAATTATTGCAAGTTGCCCAAATGTGTCACTCTTTGTCTGCTGGGATTCCGAATGCAGGTAGCACCATTGAAGCTGCATTTCGTCTATGCTATCATTGGTTAAAGAAACAACTACCAGCCCGTCTAATATAAAAAAGCTCATCCTAAAGTAAGCTCTAACATGTTATCAAGTTTCAGATACCAATGTCATTTACCTGATTCCACCTTGATTTCGTGTTACATGCCAACAAATTTCTCGTGAGTCTCTGTGGAGCTAAGAGCTTGCTTGTAAGGCTATTGTTGTGGTCCAGAGCATGTGGTGTTGAACCACGCTGGGGCCACTGAGTTCGATCTGGCCCAATTATGCGTCCTTGATGCCAGCGATGAACAAGCAGATCGCAGAGGACGTGGACACAACCGTTTACTTCAAAGCTTAACTACTTTGGTGTCGTTGTGTCGTGTGAGATGTTTGCGCGTGTGTATTTACACCTCAGATGTGTGAGTCATAGATATGCTAACATCGAGAACTAAGTGTGAGGATAATCTAGGCTAATCATTCGCGCTAATGAGGGGGGAGTTGAGGGCCCGTGCGGCTGGTGACATGCTGCGAAAAGGGGGACTTTGTGTCGGAGACCAAGGTGACTGATTAACGAGTATGAATCAGCGCGATTCACAACAGTACAATCTCAGGTGCTACCGTTAGTGCAATTGTATTAAGGCGTTTTCATGACTTTTTTGAAGTAATTGTACACTAATCAGGCCTGGAAGGCTGCATAACAAGTCTCCTTCAAAGGTATGTGAACTACGAAACATTTATTGCTTATCCACAACATGCTTTAGAATCAGATATGTTTACTGTCAGTAGTTTCCGCTAAGCAATTTGACAGCCTTTTCAGTTGATACAAATGCCATAGGAGCAGGTATTGCGTAGTACGCATACCTCTCAGTTAAAAGTCCCTTAGCGCGTTGTCTTGTCTTCTGTTATTGTAATTGTAGGAGTTTGTTGGAGCATTATTAATGGCGCAGGGCGCCGACTAGCACCGCGTTTCTTTAAAGCGTCATCAAGAAATCGGAGCATCTTAACAAAACTGTTAACCTAACGGAGTTATCATAACTCTGAAAGTAAAATTATCGTTTAAACAACCTCACGCGCGTCCTTAAACGGCAACTTCACCGTGTACCTTGAATGAATCGTCATACCCCGTCTGAGTCATGACATGGAGGGCAGCTGGCGGGACTTGACTAATCACCTAATGGTCCATTTTTCATCCCCCCGCCCGTCGTCAAAGGATCTCTTTGCGTCTTTGGATTCGCCATAAGGAGAACACGAAAGCCTTGCTCGTAGATGGCAGTGCACGCCCGTGCGTTGGTAGATATTATCACCAGCATAATCACGCATCTGCCCTTGGGCGAAATGGCTGGTAGATGGCTCGCGCACTGCGTTGGATTGTTTTGGCTTAGTACACCATAATGTTGGGCAGGCGCGTTGCGTTCTCATTAACTGGGGATTTTAGTTTGGGTGGGGGCAACGTGGAAGGGCTGTTTTTTTCTCGCGCTATTTCGTGCAATGTTTTTAACTGCTTAAAAATTTTATTAAGCTATTCAAAGTTATCCCCTGGAACCGTAAAATGCAAGCTATGGATGCCGCATCCAAGTATTATTGGTGCTTTTTTCCTAGGGTTTTGCTTACTGATATGTTAAGTTACTTGTTGAAATCACCTTAGCCTTTGAGAGCGTAGATGTTTTACACTGTGCTCTCACCATTTTGCGGTTTCGCCTTAGTTTCCATTTTTTTTCAAGACTATTTTTTTGGATTTGTTGAGAGGAAACTGTGCTGTTCGGAACATTTCCTCAGTTGATGCAACTGAACTTGTTTGATTGAATGCACGCCAGCATATATTGCGGTAGACACATTGAATGCTCTTTGTTCCTTTGCGGAGTTTGAACTGAAACTAATTGGGCAACCTTTTCGTGAAGCCTAAATCTGTCGAATCAAGTGTTTCCAGTCGCCACCTGCAACCGCCCGAATAATTACTGTAGATCGGTGTTTACACACAACTTGTGTCTTTAGAGGTTCTGATAACCATGTAAAAGGACTTTAATTTCTGGATCTAGTTAGTGCGCTATCACACCAAAATTTTAATGTGCTCGTGACGTAACACTCAAGTCCTATAACCTGACTCACAATTGGGGTCTGCTTGACTGGTGCTCAATTGTTTGGATAAATGCCTAATTTAAATCCACAGTGGAAAATAAGATGGATTTAAGACAAAACACGGAACATGCGAATCGCAACTTAGTACTATTTTAGCATAAGGCATTAATTTTGATATCCCACTTACAATTAAAATGTTTTCAGCTTTAAGCAGATCTGATCTTAAATTAGCTAGATCAAAAATCAAATTGATCAGTCCGATCTACACAAAATTGGAGGCTTTCATTGAGACCCAAATTGTCCCACAGACCCATATTTGGCGAAGTCGCACAAGATTAAACCTTTCCTTCATAATTTACGGATTTGCATATTTTCCCACAATCCCACCCCAAATAGATACAGCGTCTCTTAGTGTCTAAATTGTGGCCATGCTATTACACATTGAAATTAGGACGTTCCCGTCAACGTAACTCTGACCGTTTGTGATTAAACTTAAAACCTTGTTAGAGCTGGGCTTCAAGCCATTAGTAGACTGATGATCACTATACTTACGGCTCTTCCATGTTTCTTTTTAACTTACGATTGAAAATCCCGTTGCCCGGATTTTGACCAAACTTGTTTTGGACTACTTAAGGTCGAGGGAGTTTTCTTAAAGACGCCAGAGTTTTAATTGCCACCCATTCCCATTTCTACGTTTTTCCAGACAACTTTTATACGATAAACATCAGCCGCAAGGTAATGACAGGTTTTATTTTTTTACAGCTCCCTTACGACCACTGAAACTAAGAGTCTCCCAAATGGAGAAGCAGCCACGTCGCTTCCCCCTCCCCAGAGATGATCCGAGAAGCGAATTCGGTTTGCCTTATGTAGCCCTGGAGTTGACATGGGACCGGCCGTCAGAGCTCGCAAATAAGGAGGGACAGCTGGTTTACCAGGTTAGATGTTCCCACGTCGCCATGCTTATTTGGCTTTCGCTCCATCCCTTCTCATCTCTTCAAACACTTCGTGTGAATTGCAGACCTTTGTCCTTATAGGCTAGCGTTCTGCTTATTCATCCTACTTGTGTTTCTTGCCGCTGCTTCTTCTTCTTGAGTATACTCTTTGTTTTCGCCTGCTGTGCTCTGTTTTCCTTATATCCACTGCCTCTTCGCCCTCCCATCTTTCATGTATTTAGCTTTTTAAATTTGCCTTTTTTAAAGACATTACCACTTTGCCCTATTCACATTGAGAAGACAATCATCGTAGCAGAGGCAAATACACAGTTTCATTCTCTCGTCCCTGTGTGATTTCCATTCCACTTTTTATCGCAATTCATTTTCTTGTTCGTCCTGTAAACAGCTTCACTCGGCTTCTTTTTAACGTAGGTCAGCGCAAGACCCGTTGTGTTGCCATTGATCGCAACCGAATCCCGACTCCCTGAAAGTGGCGAATATGCGTCAATTGTGGCTGCTAAACGCGTCGGGGCTTGGGTTGGAGGAACGCGCATCTTGGCAAACGTTACTACAGAAACCTTCTCCTCCACGGAAAAGGATGATCTGGGTAGGTTTAGCCACACACGCCTTAAATCTTCCAATGTCATCAACTATTCACGGGATTGTAGTGGGTGTATCACCTGAATTTTGGCTTAATTTTAAATTGCTAAATATTTAAAGCCAAGGCTTTTGAAGTCCAAGCTCCAAGTGCTTAGCTAGCTTCCATGCTGTACCGCTTATGTTTGATATGGAGAGGTTAATTGAAAGTGGGTGCATGAAAGTGTCACCTACCTGTTGCCAATGTACTCTGATAATATCCCTTGTGTAATGTGGTTTTTTTTTTATTAGAAAAAAATCCCTCAAATGGTGGATTAAAGCTCATTGACAGTAAATCAAACTAATCTCTGTCATCTTTAAAATGTTAAAATTGAAAAAAAAGAAGAGTCGTAGCTTGCATCACCGGTCCAGTGACTGGTTTGGCAGATGCATGTTACTATTTTGATCTTTGTCTTGCCATGTAATAATTGTTTCATTTGGCTTTCGTGGTGACCAATTTACATAGAAATTTGTTTTTGGCTTCAAGATTAACGCAAATTTCAAAACTGACCCGATAACTGATTTTTGACGTCAGGTACTTTTCTTTTCCGAAGCAGAGTAAGTTGGATAGGGCTCACAGAGATATTTTTGAAGTTTCTGGTGTTAAAGCTAAAAAACCAAACAGAATTGATTTAAGATGTTTTGTACATATTTTGTTTCCGGTGGTTAACTTAAGTTCTGGTTTACCGAGTAGAGTTGTACGCAACCAAATCGCAGCCATTAAATAATTCAATTTGTTGTGTAAGATATTAATATTTAGAAGAAATTCGGTGTACAAAAGTCTTTACATTTTGTGTGAATCTTAGACACAGTTAAGCCATCCACATATTTAATTTATGCATCACTAGTAACTAAACATCAATTTTCTACCGGGTGATTGCAGACATCTAAGTCCAAATTTTATAGACGGCGCCCATGACTATGCTGTCCCTTTTTCAGTCATGTCACTAACTAAGAGGTATCTAAATGTGTCCGAAGTCAGCATAACGTTAGGTCGAATCGGTTTTACATTGATGCCGGTGTAGGGTTAATATATTAAAAATAGAAAATGATAGGCTTCTGCAAATTGGTGATTTCCATCTAAAAGATTAACTTCGCTCTGCCCAGCACTCTAGCAATGGTAGTGATTCTATCCTAGATCCAATGAATACTAATCAACCTATCGCGTTGTTGCTGCCGAGAGATAACATATTCAAGTCATTTACTGATAGATTTTAAGATTTTTATACAGATTGCTTAATATTTGTTTCTAAATTCGGCACGGGATTTCTCAATCACATAACATAGTTGCATTAATTCGAAATTTTATCAATCTTATTTTTCGATTAATTAATATAAATAGCGCGAAATGTTCACTTGTAATAAAAATGATATGGATGCTATATAAGCAGGCCAGAATTAGCATGTCCCCAGAATTTGAAGGAGATCACCAAAGCGAAGAATTTGATGGAGTTCTAGTACTATCTGTGACATCTAAGATCTTATCTTTACGAGCCTTCATGCTGACTTCCATGGCACGGAAATGTAGAGGACTTCAAAAAGCCTGACTTTTGGATGGAAATTTTTGAAGACAGACACCCAAGGGAAAGCATTTTACGCAGCGATAGGCAGGGACATAATAAAACAAACAATTGCAGTCATCAATGGTTTCCTTGAAATAAAATTTAATGGACTGAAGACGATTTGCTGCATCTAGTATTCAGTTAGGTCGTGCATTCTTCTTATCTTGGATTATTGGAAAATCCTACGAATTGCTGGTCACCTGACTACCGATTACATGCATGAGACAATGGATTGGGCCATGAAGCATAATTTGAAGTAGCTACTGAATGAGGCATTATATTCATGCGGCAAGCAAACTAAGGTAGGAATGGAGTTGGCATTTTGGTGATAAGGTCCAGTGTTTTAGTAGCATATACAAACCTATATTCGTGCTGTCACCCAGTCAAGCAGCAAACCGCTGAGCTAGTGCTGACATTGCTTTTAGTGTTGGCAGTGGCCTAGAACAACGGCCTTGGCTTTCAACTTCTACTGGCGGTGCGTGTGTATCTATTACCTCTATGTGCGAATAGGTATGCGTGGTTGCGTAAAACTTGCACGTTTTTTAAATTTACGAGTCTAGTTTTGAGGCACAAGTCTTCGTTACCTTTATCCTAGTATGGCTTCCTTTTTTTCGAATTTCACTTCAATTGCTTTAATAAGTGTTCGAAAACTTAACGTCAAATCAAAAAAAATTTAGGCAAGATTTCAAATGGTGTCGCTGAAAATCAATTTCGTGTCTGTGGTGAGGAGGTTAGGCAAAATAAGAAGTTGAGGGCATTTTCTTAAATGCCCTACTCCAATGTTGACATTGATGCGGATTTTATCGCAGCCGTTGTTTAAATTAATCCAAGGTTTTACTTCGGCGGGAATTTTAATGAAAAAACTTCGGCACGTTGACACTGAAACCAGCACAAAATACATTATTCGTGTGTATTTGCGAATGGCCTGTGATTTTGCAACAAAGTTGTATTATAAATTGGAGCAGAGTCTGGTCAAAGAAGGCAAGCCGTGTAGCTTTGCAACCTAAACGCATTCCTATATGCACAGTGTAATTGGGGCTTTGTGGAGTTTCATTTCTGAATCTCGCATTAAAGCACATAATCCGGTAGTCTTAGATAGAAAACAGTTGCTGAAGAGGCACGTAATTCAGATGTCTTATTGGTTGCCTAGCTTTTATACCCGAAATTCACGGTCGTTTGTCCCGCGTCTAGCTATTACACTCACGATCCCACAGACCGATAAACGAGACAAACACTCAGGCCATAAACTCCGGATGGTTCCAACTTATAATCAGGATTAAAATAAGAAAAAAAACGTTGCCTACTCAAGCACGCAGCTACGATTCGGATTAGTCTATTTTCTCACCTGTGTTCTGGAAATTGAGTTAGCCTTTCGAGTAAGTGGGTGACGTGCTTGTCAGACTCGTTCTCGTGCATCCAGAAACTCCGCTACTTCATGTTCACTAGAATTTTTTCCTTATTTTCAATGATTTTTTAATCAAAATGGCGTTTGATTCCACCAAGATTGAAATAGCTTATGACATTGACATAAGTAGTCTGAGAAATCTGTGTAGGTATTTTAAACCGGAGAAATTACTCATAGTCCTGTATTGAGTGGTCCTTGATTGCAAATGTGGTGTCACTGACACTCTATGGGAACTAGGGTCAATTCATTTCAACTGCTGTCTAATGTCTTGAACATACACAGCCTCATTGTTCATGCTGATGCGGAGAATACGCTGTTATCATGTTAAGTTCTTTGGTTCTTTGGAGTGTAGACTTACTCAGGTGTGTCCTCGCATCACTCGTGCTGTCTAGTTGCGTGTTCCAGTCCAAGGTTTGTTTTAATTTAATCCCAATGCACCCTTTACTATGCCTTTCCCAGTATCCAGGTATTTCTATCCCCTTGGCGGCATTATCTGGCAGTTTGTAGTGTAAGTCTGAAAACTTCCAGTACTAGGCATTTCGTGGGATAGTTAAATTCTTTTCATGTGTACGCTTCCGGAGACCGCAGCTTTTTCGATTCATGGGATTCATTTGTTCAGGTGAACAAAGACAGCTTTAACAGCGTGTTTACGCAGCCATCATAACGGCCCATCCCCCTCTTTGACTTTCACGTGGTCTTTGTCTGTGACGTGTTCAACTATCCCCCACAGCTGGGGGTTTTTTAGAGTTAACTGACTTGACGTTTATCACGTCAAGCGTTGAATTCCAGGCTAACAGTCGGAACCTTGCGTATAACCTCATTTGACTAAACCCAACATGATGCATTGCAACGTGGGCCCCAGGTGATAACCAAGTAGTAAATCTTTGAATAAAGTTGACAGAGGTAATGCGACTGCCATTAAAACACGATCAAGCGGGAATATAAAAAGAAGGATGTGATTGGCTGAATTGTAAACGAGCTTTACAATAAGCATTTAAGACTCCTCTAAAAATTTGTTCTCAGTAAGACAATGAGTAGGAAATTATCACTTGTTAGTCTTGTTTGTTTTGCTCTTAAGAGAAATGCAGCTGTCAAATCTTGGCAGTTGGAGATTTTTAATTTGATACCATTCAAATCATCCGCTTTCTCACGCGTTTTCACATCTGTCAGATCAATTTCGCACACTTTCGACTTCGTGGACAAATTTTAGCAGCTAATCTGTTAGGCTGGTGAACACACGAAAGCTTTACCAGAAATACCTTTTTCAAAGAAGTCATGAGTTGGGGTTCTTGACAATGTTGCCATAGAACAGGGGCACCTAACTGGTATTTTTAGCATTTATCACGAGACGATGGTGACGGGTGTTGCAGTCATCAACCAAATCACGACGACCTCTGTGAAATGGAACAAAAGTATAATAAGATAATGCGCATAAGGAAATAGCCCATGATATTGCCAGATGAACTTAAGGCGAATAGGCACATCAGCACGATATTGGTTATCCGTTTTTTTCAAGGCTTCACTGTCAAATTCAACTAGAATTCAAAATCAATTCTCTGATGGCATTGGGTATTCTGTTGTCGTTTCTTTACTCTGTTTAAGACGTTTTTTGCACATTTAGATTTTATTTTCATGTTTTAATGCAAATGCATATCCGGGTGGTTTTACCGTGCAACACGAATGACGCCCAACCTAATGGCCTAACTTTTACAACCAACTTTGTTACGCGGAATCCAGACATTTGCAGAGCGTGGGTACTTTTATCATTTCCTGTTCGCAAAACGCCGGTTATTTTGTATTGGGTTGCTGCAAAAATGTGAATGTTGATTAAAACACACTGAGACAAATTAAGAGCATTCATGCGAGAGTTTTACCAGGAGGATTGCCACAAATAGTTTGTCAAAATCTGCCCACAGTGACTTTTGAATTGCACATTCACAACTTATTTGCCTGACTTTCGGACGAATAATTGCGAAGTGAGCTCTTTTGTAAGAAATTTTCTTTCAATTACAGGATTCGGCATAACCTACGAGTTCCAGGTTTCTATCATCAATTCCACCATGGCTGGAACCTCGGAAAGAATCAATGTCACCACTCCTGAAAGTCGTAAGTTTGGCTAATTATATTTCTTGGGAAGGCACCTAGAAATCCTTTATAGGCAAGGGAATAAATGATGGAATCTGTACACTCTTTTAATTACCTATGCATTCGGCGGATCCAAATAAGCATCGTGTAGGTCATTCATTGGCATCTCGAGTTTAACTCTTAAACTAACTGGAGTTAATATTGCATACTCACTAAGTTAACATCCTTCTATTTGATCTTTCTGTAGATACTCCTTAGTTAGTTTCTTGCAGAGGGCCTGAGCCATTGAGTAAATTCAGGTCAAGCGAAACCATAAATCTGAAATAGTCTAAAGGAATGCCACTATATTGAATTATTTGGCTAGCCCAACTAACAAGTTAGGAACTTAATGTAAATGCGTTTTAAGTTAATTACTCGCATTTTTAAGACGAAGTGTTCAATTCTATGTCATTTGGCTTTAGGATGAAAAATTTATCCCTACCCAATGAGTAATTTGCACACTAATCTTCGTTTGGCCGTTGCAAACACTCTCTGAACTTAGTAGATGCATAAGGCATTTGTTGTGCCTAACCACTGCTGCACTGTTTGATCATTGCCTATGACTTATTAATCATGGTTAGAGCGTAGTGTGACAGTCTCGCAACCTTGCTCTTTTCGGACTGATAGCCATGAATAAACTCAAATAATTCATGAATTTAATTGCAAAGTTGGGCAGCTATTGCTTCTGTTCAGAGCAAAAGCTCTCGGAAATTCGTCTGTTCTGTGCACCAACTTGACTTTTGCGCAATGTCATTTATGCTTCCTCACTGCTAATCTTATCTACTCTACAGTAATAGAGATGGGCAAATTGTGTATATGATTAAAAAGCAGTCTAGGCCAGCGCAAAATGCTTTGTACAATCCTTAATACCAAGTTTACAGACACAAATCTGCCGGTAAAATCAGCGCTCATTTACCTCAAGGTGTTGCCGATGTTTTGCATGCACGCTGAGTAGTCGGACATAAGCAATGCATGGACCTGCGCGTTTTCCTTCTGCCCACTCATTATAACAGGGCGGATGTTTTGCCTTTCCCAGATTTCAGTGGCTAATTATTACTGACTTCTCAGGCTTGGCAGAGAGACTTTATTGTGTGAGCTTTACCCTCCGCCCACACACGCAACTATTATGCTTTTGTGAAAGGCAGCAAACTAGCCATAAATTGGCTGCTTCAAAGAACGCAGAAACCCCAAGGATTAGTTCTGGGTTTTAGAGAACATTGTGTAGTGTTCAATTAAGCAGTGTTTCAAAGCAAGTATATGTGCTATATGGTATACTACAGCACACTTTTTATGGAAAGCCACTATCTGGAGTAGAAGGAAGAGATTAAATCGATCCCTAATGTGCATCCAAATGTTCCGAGGTTGTTTAAAAACACGAATAATTCAGAAATGGCTACTTTGCCTTTCGCCTACAGCGTCATTTATGTTTGTATTCACAAGACTGACCACTTTGCACAGCATCTACATTCAATATTTTGGGTCGAATTTACAAGAATGGAAAAATTCGCGATGCCTCAGCAGCTGGGAAAATTCTCAAGCCGATTTCGAAACACCTTTGTTAGTGAATGGAACAGGTTTTATCAACTGTATTTTAGTGTAAATTTTAAAGCATTTCGTCTTAATTGCTGACACGCAGTTTTTTTCTAAGGATAAAGGCCAAAGTCTAACTTTTAATATGTTGTTGCAACCTGTTGTGGGAAAAAATTAAACTTTCAAAAAAAACATAACTGAATACAATGAATACGTGGCTTTTTCAAAATTTTGCGAACCAAAAATTTTCGTATTAAAACTTGCAAGTATTGCAGAAACGATTGAACAGCCTAGGTTTGTTAAGCGGAGTACACTCCGTACCAAGCCCGCCTCGAAAGTCCAACTCAGGGCTTCTAAATTATTTATCTTAAGTGGTTGGGTGTATCTCAGCATGCATTGCCATTACTAAGGGTTCTTCAGAATAATTTATCGCTGTGATTCAGTCGGACCTTCTTATTGGGTAGAAGTATTAATTTAATCAACCTGGGTAATTGTAACTTCAGAAAAAGTCGTTCTCAAGTATTTTGAACGACCAAACCAACTGGTAATAGGTAAGCATAATATTTTTTTTCCTCATAGTTAACTGACTATTCTGCTTTGGATTTGAGTCGCATCATAGGTGTTGTGTAATTACGCTGATAATGTGTATCGGGAAGTAGTTTCATAGAAATCTGGTGACCATCCGCCAAAATTCGCAATTAATGATAAAGCGACAACACCGTGATGTGACAGCCATCCAGCTTGATTCATTAGTAATGAAGCGCCGTGTGGTACAAACGAGGTCGTACGTAAGGGGTGCGCGTAGAAAGGTTTGGAAGAAACGCTAAGCAGTGTCGAAAGTCATAGGGACCACTAATCTAAGTATAAAACTCTTTAGGCCAGCTTCAATCAAAAGGCTTTCATGGCCATTCCACTATATTTTTATCGTTTTCCTCTAGCCAGTTAATTTTTTCGCCTTTCCGGATGTACATCTACTTATTTTAAAGGTTAATTTCCTACATTTGATTCACTTAGCGATTTCCTCATGCTAATTGGACACCTTATGTGATGAGTAATTTTGTCTACCATTTCACAAAAAAGTCTATTGATCTCGCATACACTGGTGACTCGAGATTCATTGTACACTACAGTTTCAAACTAGGTTGCAGACTCAAGGTTTTCTGTATTATACTTACAAATAATTTAAATGTTTCAAACCGCAAATGCTTCTCGTAACATATTTTTGAAGCCTGGTGGGCAGCAGAATACAAAACAATGCTTGTTTTGGATAGTATGAAATCAAAGCGAAGTATGTCGTAAATTGGCATAAAAACAAATATGCCATTGTCGAAATTGACCATTGCTTCTGAATTAAAAAGAATACATTAGCAAGCAATCATTTCAACATTTTAGAAAAAAATTAGGCCCCTGGACTAGCTTTGAGAAGTTGCCTTAATGACAACAGCAGATAATGAAATAAGACATAAAATATGCCCTAGTGATGACAGGTTATTTCCCTCGCATTGTCCAAAGGAATTAGCTAGTTAAAGTCGTTTTATGTGGGATTAACGTGAGCTAATGATGCACTACATTTTTCTTAAAATTAGATCCCTCAAGTTTTCCTTTAAAACTTCGTGTTCGTGGAATCGGTCCAAGCGAGGTGGAAGTGACCTGGGAGCCACCGGCTCTCAACGCTCGCAACGGACGCCTCACAAGTTATCAGGTCCGCTACTACGAAGATGGCGCGGAAAGCGAAACCGAACAACTATTTGACGTCCTTGTGCCAGAGCAGCTAAAGTACACAGCAAGAGACCTCAAGACGCAGACCTACTACCACTTTATGGTGAGGGCCTTCACCAACAGCGGACCTGGACCGTGGACGCGGTCGAATACTTTCCAGACGACTGGAGAAAGTGAGTGGCCACTTATAGACTGTAAAGGCTGTGGTACATTGTGAAAACCCTTTAATCCTATCTCGTGAATGACGCCGAATTTCCCCTCATGAATCTCCTTTCCAGGTGTTTTGGAATTTGTGACGTCAACTTGGCTTCCACTCGGCTTTTAAAGTTTTGTGTACTGATGCCGAACAAATTGGCTTTTATGAGCTTTCCAACATGTGGAAAAGTAGGAGTATTGACATTAAGAAACATAACTTTCTCGCATTAGAGGGTAGACTACTTTATTAAGTTAAGCTTTCTTAAGTTTCTCGCTATAGTCAATAATAGAAAATACTGTTGGCATTATTTAAACTGTATGCCCCGGTGTGGTGCTCAAACTGCACCCGGACCAATGGACCTGCGCTGTCAAGGCCTGATTATTAAATTGCATCAACAGCAAACACGAGACATCCATGCTCACTCATTTCTTGGTCGTTTATTAAAATAAACTAAGTCGGTGCAAAGATTTGTCATTTAGGCAAGCACAAATCCTGCCAAAGTTGAATACACCATTTTAACAGTCTTGATATTGTAAGTCTACCTTAGTAAAGTCACTTGAATTGGTATAAAAGATATTCACGTTTTACACATCAAACTAAAAATTGAGCTACAGGACCAGCTAACGGCTGGCAATCTCGATCCAGGCAGCTGCTTCCTGACCACCTAGTTTGGCGTGTAAATTATGTATTTTTGAATATTAAATTCATGACCTACATTGCTCGAGGCGTTTCAGCCTGTATTAAAACAGGAAAACTTTTCTTCATAAAAGTTAGGAGTACCACTCTCAGCAGGGCTTTTTCAAATCACAATTGAAATCCGAAATTGAACAGGTTCCAAAAACAGCCCACCAACACAAAACAGACGCAATGTATTTAGTTATTTAACTGTGCCAAGAATGGGATGGCACAAGTGAAGAAACACCAAGAGACTTGTAAAAGTGATAATTCATGGCGTGCTAACTGTGCTGATGTAATTAGGAACATGGAGTTTGCTGGGTTGTTATGACGATCTCAAGTAACATAGACTTATCTCCAACTTGTTAAATGTGGGCCACACCAGACGGAGTTCAACCAAATTGATGGATACGAAAAATTTTCAACTCGAATGAGAGTGCTTTAGTCAATGATTTTGCTTTGGTGTACTTTATGTAGGCGACTAGATCGTGAAAGGACTTCTGTCCTTATTTTCAGCTGCTGAAATCTGTGTTAAAAAATTGTGGTTCTAATTCTCAAAAGAAGTTGTAGATCGAGGCCTTAAGATGTCATCTGTTGGCTGTTGGGAGAATGACAGTAATCTCAACTGGTCAATGTTAAGCTGTCCACTATCTGTGCCGCAGTATCGTCAACACAATTTAGATTGCCTCCTGGATGGGCTGGGTCCACGAAAAACGGAGATCGAGAATCGTTTAAGTTGTGTGGATCTATCTTGGACGAAATGAAAGCCACATGTTCTCCTTACTCACTTATCGCCGAGTCGGTGGCGTTTGCAACTACTCTTAAAGTGATGACTTGGTACATACTCATTGATGACGGGTTCGTCGACTTTATCTGCTGCTGGGCCAGGTTACAGTAGCATGATAATCCAGTAAAAATAGGACCGGAGCCTAGCGGTGTTGTGTGGTTCACCACTGTGCACAAAACGGCGTGTAGGGCTAAATTTGGTTGTTGATTCATGCAATCTAGGTGAAATAATTAAAAGTACAAATGATTAAAAGGATAGGTGAGTGGTAGAAGGAGCAGGGAAGGTTCATGCGCTGGGGTGTTTAAACAGCCGTGTCCACGTGTTTGGACCCTGTGAAATGTGGGCGATGTGTTGGGGAATGCGACGACCTGGTTACTGGACCTGATACGGCATGATTCACTATACACATATTACTATTCTCCTTTGAACTGGCGTTCTGGGATTTTGCACAAGGATTGACTGCACACCCCATGTCAAAAATTACGTCTTCCCAGTGAGAGGTGTGTCAATGGGTTAACCTTAATCAAGCCAAAATCCTTAATATTTAACGTTAAATAAGGTACAACACAAAATCCATCTGGGAGGATTCAGTTTAGCCCAAATGGAGCCAATTTCAAGAAGGGTATATTCCTTCACGTTGTCTACACTTAGCACCGGTCTTTGTCAACGACATTTAAATCTAATTTTTACCGTTTTTTGTGAAATTGTATGCTATCAAACACTCTTATGTAAACACGTTGAAGTATTGCTACATTTATGGGACACATTTCCTTTCAACGGAACTTAATGGGATTGGATAGTCATGTGACGTTTCGATACATCGTCCTTAAAAGTAATGCTGACGCAAATGCAATCTAGCACCGTCAATACTCATTAGCTCAAAATGGTAGATGCCCATTTATGTGTTTATAAGGACATGACTGTGATAAACCATGGCGGACCTTCTGTAAATCATTAATATCGCCAAGAATTGCGCTCGTGTTTCATTCGTCGATTGCATTTTCGTCAGACAACAAGTGATAAGGTTTGTGTGGCACCCTAAATTCCTGACGTTAGCAAATAAAGCAGTTTAAGCATTGGGGCTCACTCTGCCGCGTCAATGCCGCTTACAAATGCAGGGTTAAAATGGTGGTCATTTAGATGCCTTCATTGCTGTCAAGTTCCAATCACGTGCTTAAGCGCTGCGAACAGCTGACGCTTTTAAACCGGCGTTTGTGAAGTTCTGGCCTCAGTACTGGCGTGGGCCCAGTCAGGTCGCGTGGCTGCGAACTTCAAAAAAACGGCGAAGTTCGCTGGTCTTGAATGCGTTAAATCAATTCAATTACGAATGCCTTGTGTTTAGCGTTTTTTTGGGGTCAGCAGCTTACTCCTTTTTGCATCCATTAGTAGGACCCAGCACCAAATTCCCGTTGAAAATTAGATTTATAATGCGAATTTGGTGAAATAAATGGTCAAAACCCGATACGTCAACTGGTGTTTGAGTTATTTTTAGGAATCCTGGCTCCCTTCCCCCAAACGAGCACACGTTGAATGCATGAGACAGTGTTTTGTCGATTCACTTGCAGGACCCCCGCCGCCAGTGGATGTTCAAGCCATCCGAATCAACCAACACCAGATCAAGGTCACCTGGCGCATGCCAGAGACGGAACTTTCAAACCGTCTACCCACCTCCTCGCGTCCCACTTACAAACACGCATCTATCCAAGGTTTTCAAATCCTCTACGCGCCTAATGACAGCCCCTACGACTCCTCCGGTTGGACAACCTATGACGTGGGTCCCTTCCAAATGGCCATTATTTCCCACCTCCAGAGTAAATCACCCTACATCATCCGAGTTAAGTCAAAAGGACCCGATGGCAGGTATGGCGAGTGGAGCGACCCTCCTGCTGTGGCGCGGTCGACAATGGCCACGTGGGGAACCGACTTCTCTGTGCGGAGCCTCCTTTGTACCCCGGGGTTGACAAGCGCAAAAATAACATGGCAACGACCAGAAAATACCAAGGGACTGGTCGGGTTCAATGTACGTTGTTTGTTAAGTGTTCCAGAGAGCAGAGTTGCAGGATTGGTCAATTACTACTTGGTCTCAAATTGGAAATAAACAGCAGGTAGTTAGAGACTACACTGAGTGATTAATGTTTGCATGTGAGTTCCTTAGACACCAGGTGATGACCACAAACTCTGGACTAATGATCTGTACCAAAATGGTGTCGTGCCTTTGCGAAGAAGGGGTGTGGAAGAGGACTAAATATAATCGAGGAATTTTGTAGTGATTCTAATGTTTTGCTCTAATGAAGTTGTAATTATGCGGAAAATAACTATAACAGGGCTTCTTGTTGAGGCACATTTTTGGTGCATTGCACGTATCCCTTACCCGACTTTATAACCTCCTGATTTTCTGGAACAACTATGTAATGACAAGCACTAAACCGTTCATGGAAGACCACAAGCAGTTAATTGATTTTCTTGGCGCTCTATGAGTCTGTGTCCACGAGTTGAGATTGCTTTCTCTACATTTGTTTGGCAATCGTGTGCTTTTCTCCGGTTACAAAGTTGTTTCCGCTTAACTCAAAAACAGCCTGCTAGTGGCAAGACTTGAGTCTCAAGGCTTTTCTATGGATTTAAGAACACTTGGTCACACTCCTTTTATTTACACTACTTTTGCAAAATAGCGAAAGTTGTTTTTTTTCGGAGACTGGTTTTGCGTTTTCCGGTACCAGAGTAACAGCACTAGCATGCACAAAATCACCTTTGTCATGCTGGTGCGCGGTGAATTGCTTTGGTGAAATGTTTCTATTGTGGAAGTGGACAACGTTTAAACAGGACAATTCGCCTATGTTTATAAGTGTCTTGCAGCATTTATTATTTATGCTGCTTTTACTTCGGCAGTAGAATGTGAAATTTTTTTCCAGTCCTTAAGTTGTAGTCTGAAGTAGGATGTGTTTTGGAATGTATTGCCTTGGGAGTTGGTCTATACGTAGAGTCGTAGTGTCCACGAGACCCCTAAATGACCAAAAAGTAGGATAAATTCAGTTAGGAAATTTTCATTTTTCCGTTAATACCTTCATGGCTTTTAGTCAGGCAATCATTAAACTTCCGTTGAAGCATCCGTGAACAATTTTCTCATAAAGCTATAAACTGACAAAAAACCTTCGTAAGTTCGAAGGATGCCACGGATTTATCAACAGAATGGCAGGTTTCAGGTTGCCCATTTTATGCGTTAAAATTTTTGAGGAGTTTAAACAACTGACCACGCCCATTTGCTTGCTTTTACCAGATTATTCTTTTTCCTCTCCAGGGGAACATTTGAAATTTTAGTGTGTCTAAAGAAATTACCCCGAATATATCGTTGACTGATTGGTATTACGCAGGTATTGAAACAGCAGAAAGTTCTTGTTCGAAACCACACTAGGACTCAAAAATCTACACCGACATGGTCCGACCGAAAGAAGGGTAGAAATGATAACGCGTGGCTCAACTAATTTATTCTAGCAGTAATAGCGTGTGCGTGTGTGTACTATGTAACGAGTCAGTTTACATACCCCTGCTAAACATCGGTCTCTTATTGGACACAGTTACGTGAAGTGCATTCACGTAAACCAATTGAATCATGTTCGCTTACGCTTGCTGTGTTAATCAGCTGCTCGTCAATACACCTAAACAAGTCAAAGATGTTTTGAAATATGATCAGGACATTGTTCACACTTTGGAAAGGCCGCCTGACACGTCCTAGTGATGAAAGCCTTACAAATTGTCATGGGCAATCTGACTATCAACCAAGAGACGCTGCATACGGTCACGTGAAAGCCTGGGTAGAGTTGGTAAGAGCCAATGGGAATCGAGGTATTTATTGATTTTTAGGCATTCGAGTTGTGGACCACCTTTCAAATTTTCTGCTAACTAATTTAAGTCACGTTTTCTGATGGCCAACGCCCAGGCTTAGTCCTTTACCACCCCAGTCATTAAATCACCATTTGCTGCAAAGAACACGTGCTCTCCGGCAACTCCTAAACTCAAAGAACAGAACTTCTCCCTTGCACTCAATGCAAATTCCGGCAGCTCAGGTTTCATTTTAAATGAGACTCGTCCATGCGTAATGTATGCAAAAAATCACTTGTTTGAGGTCGAAAGATGGGTTTCTCAAGGGAGTCATAGATGCCGACGTTGAAGTTTTCCTTTTTTTCAAGTAAACCGTCGGTGAGTTGGTTAAGCAAATTAATTTAGCGGGCAGTTTGGCTCATGAATTTTGTGATAAAATGTGCCTTTCCCTTTATTTGGCGTTGTAACCAGTCGATCTAATAAAGTTTTGCCTTTGAAGGAAATTGCGTGCGTGAGGCGTAGATTGTAAGGACTTAAGTCAGCACCAGATGAATTACCTCTTCTTCTTTCTTCAAAGGGCTGGTTGACTCATATCTAGTAGTTATGACTCAAGTCTTGGTCTAATTTGGCCCAATAGAGGCTGGTAAATGTCCGAAATGACACGAAATCATAATCACTCTCAAGCTACTGGTTTAGGCTGCGTCATTTGCATCCCAATTCTTGGATGACAGCTTCCACACGCATTCGACCAACGCAGGTGTCATTTATCACTTCAGAGTTGAAGGATAACTGGAACCTAATATAAAACAGCACATCGGTTTGCTTGCACTCATTTCTAGCCACGGTCTCCTCACGCCGGTTAACTGCCTTTCACCAACAGTTTCTAGGGCTTTTTCGGCTTGAAGTTGTTGACTAAATTTGAAGGTGATGGTGTATAGTTATTTGTCCAAAGAACCTGCGACTGACAGACGCTAATAGAGAACAGGAAATGGCCCCATGAGCCTTTAATGGAAAGATCGACAAACGTCAATTGGTTGCGTTAGTTATCTCTGTGAATAGTAGTTGTTAAAAGACATCGGTGTCGTGAAATATACTTTTGACAAAGTGCAAAAACTATGAAATTTATGGTATGTCCAGTATTAAAGACCTTTGATTTGCCCTTACTGGTTCTGCAGATCCGTGCGTCTGGTTCCAAGGAGTACGCTGACGAGTCGGGCGTAATGCGGCGGCAGACATTTGACCCGAGGAGTGCTCGACAGGCATTCTTTGATGCCCAAGACGGTTACGATTACGTTGTCAAGGACCTCGAGCCCAATACAATCTACGACATTCAAGTGAACGCCTATTATGAAACCGGAATGAATCTGGAAAGCAACTGGGAAACCACAAGCTGCCATACTGAAATGCAAAGTAAGGCAGAGCCAATCACAATACTTGTGTCTGATCGTTTTGCTCTTGTCTCTCGGCGGGCTCAGAGTAGCAGTTTATTAGTCTGTAGCAGAAATAATCACTGCATGAAATAAGTCAAATCAACCTTCGTTCACATGATATTGCAAATACACACACACACACACGCACACCCAGTATTTTGTACCGGAAGTTGGGCTTAACGGAACTGATTCCGTTGTGTGGGAGCTCTCTCTGTGTAGCTGAGTTTTACCAGTGTGATAACAACTGCTTGAAATCCTATGTTCCGTGCACTGCCACCTTGGATAAAGGACATGATCACTTAACGATGCATTATTCTGGAAACCAGGGGCTCTTTGGTTGATCGAGGGTCGTGCAACAGTTGAACGTCCGCTTCCAGGCCTTGTGGTTTTTACTAAAACCCAATGCAATGAAACAGGCAGTCACGTTAAATGCATTTTTGTTGAGCTAAAAACGGATGTCTCTTACATTATTGCAGTCGTTTATAAAAGTACAGTTTTGTTAGTGAACGTCAACCAACTGCAAAATGTTGATTTTGCCCTAATCCCTTGCAATCCCACTGCCAAATCGACTACGCCAAGCAGAAAGATTGCAATGCATGAACACCATTAAAAATGTATGTTTGGTTTGTACCTACATTAATGCAAGCCTTCCTTCTGACATGTAGAAGGCTGCATTTAAAAATAATTATTTTTTTGTAAATGATATTTGCGTGCTGGCGAGCTTTAGCTGCGACATTAAATCGAAATTCCTCGTTATGTAACAAATAATTTTTCCGAGTGAATGATTTGTTACTAGTGAGTGTACTTAACTCGACAGGAATAATTTTTCCTATTTACTTGAAGCTGAGGTATTGCAGTTTTGGTGTCCGATTAGCTAACTGATTACCTGGGATCAGGTTCTGATTACTCAGAGCAAGTAATTGTATATTAAAATGTACATTTATCGATCTTGATATGACACTATTTGTAAAATAAGTTAGGTAATCTCGTCAAATTTTGTAGTATATGTTCAGTAAAACCTGTTTCTGTCGACCATGCATGCATGAAGTGCCTTTTTTATTTCTCGATACCTAATCAGATATGTTTTAACTTTGTAGGGCCTGAGAAGGTCGCTCCACCTCTGCCCATATCAGCTCTAGAGGACCGTAAGCAGGTCCACTTGAAGGTTTTCCGTGTCAGCGAACGCCTCGGCAAAATCCGTCAGTATTACTTGATGGTTAGCCCTTGGCACCTAACGACTGCTCCTTTGGATATGCTCACTGTTGATGAGGTAAGTGTTCTCACTTATTTAACAAAACTTTGTGAGTAAACTCACAGGAGAAGGTACTGGCTTAAACGACCGTTGCTTGGGCTTTTCACTTAAAGGGAATGTTCGTGAAAGATCACGTTGGAAACACCAATTTTTGAAGTCCTCGGTATGTTGACTTAAACCACGCCATGATAAGCGCGAAAGTGAGAAGACTAGAGAGGGCGAGACGCAACCTCTCACCAGATTGCTTAGCCAAGTTGTGTCGTCCGCGTGCCTAATACAATTTAGCGAACCAGTTACCGTACAAGTGTCTGAATGGTAAGGTGGACAAGGCGCGTAGTGGTGGCACATTCAGAGGGGTTGGGTGAGCCGACCGTCCCCACGGTTGACGTCGTGTAAAGGGGAGTCGTGCGTTAGACTGCGACGACCGGGTTAATGGACGTAAATCAACACGATTCACTGCAAGTGCATAGGTAAAGCTCACGGACGAACAAGTTATTGCCTAGCCGACAATCGTATTAAACGTTGTGTCATCATCGACACAAAGTAAGCGTTACTTTATTCTGAGACTACGATTGAGGATGTAATAACTTATGTTCTATTCAAAATCAGTCATATTTCCTCGTTCGCTACTGTCATGTATTAATATGGACTCATTCTCATCTCCAAACCCAACTACTTCTGAGTCTAGTTTTCGTAAAATGTGAATTAAACAAAGACAAATTCGCTCTAATCGTAACCTTCAGGTCACATTCAGTTATGTCGATTTGCCGTCTGATTTTCTGAATCAGTACATTGGTTAATTAATTTCGACGACATTTGACTGTTACTGCTAGAAATGCGAATTTGTGATTGAGAGGCCATTAAAAAGCTGTGTTTGACGGCAAAAATTTTTTTCTTCGTGGGAAAAGTTGCAGGCAGTGGCAAGAAATAAGGTAAATTGGCCTAAAAGGAGAACTGAGAGGAAACAATATTTATTTGATGATATATCTGCATGTACTTTTCGAAATCTCAATTCTCGTTGATGTGCCACTGCTACAGCATTGACATAAAATGAATTTTTCTGGTTTCAACACGCAGATTCCACCCCTGACAGTATTCTCTAGAGTGACCTAGATGTAACCGAACCCAAGTTACCATCATGTAATGGAAACCAAGATGAACATTTGTTGTATACAATCTTACTAAATTATTTGAGATGTAAACCCATATTTGCATCACAAATACAATACCGTTCAAAGGTTATTCAACTTCATCAAACATGTAATTCTTATTCATAACTACGGCCCGGTTACATCTGGTCACTCAGCATAATCCAGGGATTTAGTTGTGTTAAAAGGGAATACTTTATCGGCTTTCATGAATTTGTGGGAATTTACTAATGGGTACATTTGACCAATTATCTATGAAGCGGTCTTTAATGCCAAGGTTACAATTATGATAAATTTACTTACTTATACACAGGCACATTGAAAACAGTACTTTTTTTAAAGAAATGCCGCTTTGCAACTTTCAGATTGAGCACCCAAATGGATGAGAAATAGAGAGACAAATTCGCTCCTGAACGTTCTTCGCTGAATTTAGGGTTTGCTTGCATCTTGCATGCATGAAAAAAGATGTCCATGTGGCCCAGTAGTGTGTCATTCAATTTAATGAACCCTCACTCAATGGGTGTGAGTAAATACCAAGTTGACTACTTCATTCCAGGGTGACTTACCAGTTGCATTGACTACCGTGATAATAATTCAGCTTATGCACTAGTAGTTTTCCATAATGCGTGAATTAACACACAAAGCTGTCCCTTTTCAATCCACTCTCGAATATGCATTTCTTCAAGACCCATTTAAGTGAATGAATGAGACAGTGATTGATCACCGTTTTCTAATTGTGCAGATAGCCTACTAGTATACGTCAAAATTAAGCTGATCTGGCACCCCTTTCTGATGCCAAGCAAACGATCGAGGGTTTTGTTTAATTAACTCATGTAAAGCTGTTGGAACAGAAAAAGCGCCCGCAGTGTGTTTTTTTTCCTTACGGAGGGTTGTGAACAAAGATAACGGACATATGGTCTGATGGGATCGCCTAGTTTTCTTTTCCTCTTTTCAATGAAATCTCCAAACCAACGACGATATAGTTTGATGTGTTCTGATGTTCTAATCTTCTTTAGCTGTAATATTGTTTCACAGATTCTAGTATGTGATTGCTCTTAATGCATGTCATTTTTAGATAATTGCCTCTTCTCGCAACCTTCCTTCGACTAAAACACGCTACGTTGCTGCGCGGTTTACGCAGGACTACTTCGAGCCAGCCGGGACGAGTTCCAGAGACTTCATTCTCGGCGGAACCGATGGCCTGGTGCTCCCCCCACCCCCCTTCAGTGGCCCTCTGCGCACGCGTCGCAGTCCGGCAGTCGTTCGGGGCAAAGTCTATTCGACGAACAGCCAACAAAACTGGCTCTTGAATGATGCCGGCGCAGTTGACGAGGCCTCGGTGGCAGCTTCAGCCTACCTCGACGCAGCTGTCGTCTTCGATAACAAACCATTGGAGGCTGGACAAATCTACTGTGTAAGGCCGCTTTGCATCATTAGGAGTACTAGTTGAATGAATCCACACGAGGTTAAATATACACTCGCAATTTCATTAAGACTCTGGTGCTCGCATGTACCTTCCAAGGAAACGGATCCAGTTTGGATGGCTTTGGAACCTGCACAGCGTCTCCATGGTCTCCACCCTTTGCAACAGATCCTTACCTCCCAGCGTTGCTGGAATTGAGGGCTCCTTCCGGCCACATGGCCACTCCTTCGGGTTCCGCGGGTGACAGTTCTTTAGTCTTTGGATCAACCGATCTCTATACTGTCTCCATCGTTGCGGTTATTCTTGGAGCTGCAGTAATTACGACAATTTGCACGGTTTTGGTTTGCATTTTCCGGTACGTCTCTACTTTCTCTGTTCATCCGCTAAATTTTTCGAGGTCTGCCCTTATTTCCCAATGTGTAGGTTAATCTTAATGTCGCTGAATGATTTCTCAAATATAACACCCGTTTTCGACATCGGACTGATTTAATCTTAGGTACACTGTGTTGAAAGAATCTAGTCATGGGAAAGATTTCGATATCTGTCCAGTAGCTTCCTCTTTGTCTGGTTCAAATGTGATAGGTTGATCGAATACTCCAGTTCCAGAAATAATTGGCTTTCATCATCTACTTTCGTCTGCAGTTCCACTATTCGCGTCTTCGATAGACTGCTTACAACAAATCAGATACAGGAAATTCCAGGATTTAAAAAATTGCTTCGAATGACATATTTTACAAAATGCAGAGAGTTAAAATTACCGGTTGGTGTGACCACCAACAATAATCAAAATTTCAAACAGACTTACAGACATGAAGATTAAGTTTTAAGAATATTCATGCCTTGAATATGTGCTGCTGTACGCTAGGTACTACCCCTATTTACGTTGAGTAAATTAAAAATTTACATGGATCTTTCTGAGAAATGTTTTTCTATACAGGTAGAGAGGGCGTAAAAGCAACGGGGTTGAAGGAAAAAGGATATTAATTTAGTTTTAAAAACTACACCGTAAAATGTTGACGTCTTGCATGGAGCTTGTTTATTCCGCCTGTATCACGGAAATCCAATTGATTTCAAAAAAGCTGTTTTCTCAAGGGTACGTCTTGGGTTTCCGTTGGTGGTTTACAACCAGGCTTTCCATCTACTGCAAACGTCATGCTTGAAGTCATTCGGTTGTTGTAACTTTAAACCACTTACTTCGAATCCATCTTGAGAACCGTTTGAAAGGACGAATAATCTTGGCTTCACGTGATAGCACTTTTCCACCATTCACTACTGCCACATCAAGGTGAGGTTTACTTGCGCAAATAATAAGCGAACAGGGTATTATTCCCATAGATCCTTACTCTTTGCCCACTTATTTTTCTTATAAAGGCGTCGTCGTAAACCGAAGCTGCTGGCCCGTCCAGTTCACCTGGACCAGAGCCTAAAGCAGCCCCTAATGAACGTCACCGATGGTGTTCCCTCCTCCCAACAGCCCGCAGGCGCCTTCTACAACTGTGCCCCTCCCATCACGGGGACCATTTGTGCCAACAACGGCGCTCTTTCCATGTCCCCACCCGGTTACTCCCAACTTGTTGGAATGCCTTCCACCTGTGTCACTTACCACAACAGTGCTCAGGTCAGTTCTTCTTCTTCCTCATCAACTCTTTTGTCCCCTTCTCTTTCAAGGTCACTATTTTAACCGACGCATTCAACTTGAACGCACCCATACAAGGGCTAAATTATCCAATGATATCCTGATGCCGTATTACTGACTTGGAGTGAACCATCTATAGTAGTATCATGTTGTCTAGTTATCCATTTGGGTTTAGACAACCACTTAAAAAGTGACCTGTGAAACTTCTTTAAAGCACATTTTACACACTGTACACCATTACTCTCTCTTCATGCACAAGTTCTCAAAATATTTCCACATTTTCCCTGCTCAACAAGAGATTTGTAACCCATGTTTTAATGTGTGTAAATGCTACCATCAAAAAAATTCACTTTACAACATAAAGTTACCTGACTGGTTATTTCCACAGCTGAATTGCATTTCGTTACCGACTTTTTCCAGGTTAAGTAGGAATCACATACCAGCGAACTTTGAACTTGTTTAGTTAGTCATTTTTGTTTAACTAAAATTGGATTGATTTTCAGCATGTTTTTTTTGCAATTTTAGGACCCCACTATTTCCACCCAAATAAACAGTTTCCCACGAAGCAGTTATCCCTACCGATCCGATTCTTCATCGGGCATCTCTGGCGGCGGGGGTGTCGGGAGTCGGCCTCCTCTCATGGGAGTGATGTTCCCATCAGTTGGTGAGAGCAACAAGGTTGACCTACTGGATGGGGGTGGCGTTTCATGTAGCCTCTACCCAACCTCTCCCCGATCGAACGGCGTGCTCCCTCGCATTGGGGCAGGCGGACCCTATAACACTTTCAGTAGACATGCCCTCGCCACCAAAAACGCCTCATTGGGGGAAAGTGTCGGCAGAGGAATATTTTCCAATGACGGCGCGACAACTGAAGATGCAAATAGTGTGGATTTACAGCATCTGTTTTACGGGAACAGTGCGTTTTGTCAAGTTTGTCAAGTTTTTCAACTTCCTGTGGGCACCACGCCTCTGATCAGCAATGTGATATAACATTTGTGTGCATACATGGAATTTGATGAGTGGCAATAGGTGGGAATGATTCCAGGAAATGCTGGACTTGAATGTAGAACAAATAGACAGTTGGTAGACCAATATAGTAGTTCAAAGATTATTTTTAATTGACTTTATTGATCTTTAAAAGCATACTTGAAGCGTTTCGTTTATTTTAAATAGGTCAAATCTTGCACTACATAATGCATGCGATGAAATCAATCGCAAATTTATTTTTACAGTCAATATTTAAAAAAAAACACGATTTTGACTTATATTTAAAACGAGAACTTTGAATGGATACATTGGATGGCCAGTGAGCGAATCGTGATTTTCGGTTTCAAAGTGCGTCAGTAAGTTGAATGTAAAAAAAATCATCTTTCGGTAATATAGAATTCGCTTTTGTAGAGTGCAACTGTGACCCATAGCAGATTGCATTAATTGTGATAAATTTCTTTGCCCTTTGAATTTCTGTGTCATCCGTAGCGGTAAATGATTATGTGCCGCTGGCAATTTTGCCCTAATGAACAATCCTCTTTGAACGGCACAATAAGCGTGTTTGATGATTGCGTATTATTTGTAAGTATTAAAGATTGCAAAAAATTTTGCGCGAAGCTTAAGCACCAGTAGTGTATTCAGATTTGAATTCCTACGCACCAAACTGACTGAAGTATTTAGGTCACTCATTCGGGTTAATGTCCTTAATCACTACCTTATCGTCAAATTGAAGGCCCTCACGTGTAATTGAAAGGACTTCAGCGCAAACCCGTTTTCGAATTCTTGCAGTTATAATTTAGGCAAATTGTCATTCTAGATAGGGTGAAATTCGTTCGACAAGGCCAAGACGGCTTGAAATGTAGAAGCACTGTTTATTTGTCTTTACCTCGTGTCTGTTTAGTGAGGTCAAAATATAATTCTAAATGTCATAGGCACATAATTTTGTCCTATACTTGCTTAGTAAAGTTATGTGATTGGGTAGTATTCGTGGATCGCTAAATTTTCTCATATTGCTGCCCTGTACTGGATGACACATGAATTAAAATCTTTCCTAGACAATTGTTTATGAATTCGATAGCACAACAAATAAGCGATCATCTTCCTGCCCCATCGCTTTATCTTGGCCTCTTAAAAGTACAGATTCACTTGGTTTTGTTTAAGCAACCGGAATCCTTTCTGCTATACCTTAGTTAAAGTAAACAGATCACAAATGTAGGGCAATCCAATAAAATGAAACCCGTAGGCAGTTTAGTCTTCGTTCACCGATGTATTTATCCAAGTTACTTCTAGACTCTGCAATTCAGCTATTCACATTTAAATCTTTGCGCAGAATTTCCTCGGTCACTGCCTTAAAACCAAACCCATATTTCCTATCTCTTGGCTCTAAAATTTGTTTGCATGCATTTTTGATTTCTGAATGCCGGAATCAAGGGAGAATGGTTTTTTCAAGTCCACGGATAGTAAGATTGCTTCCAAACCTACTTCACAGAACGTTCCGAAACCACATTAATTTTACGGGGCTGGGAATTCGGAGTAAGACGAAGCTGGGAGCGTGGAGCGAAGGTATTTTGTCCATGGAAAAATACTGGTAGAAAAATGCAGATGGCTATTTCTAATTCGACTTTGTTTTGAAACAAGAATGCACGCGAACTTGCGAAGAGGAAATTTTGGGCGCGCAAAATCTACGACGCATTTATCTCTGTTGCTAACGTTTATCTTCAGATTCCCTCTCAAGGCGACCAATCCCAGCTGCATATTTGGCTGAACACATAGTGAAGCTGAGCGCAGACGACAACAGATTATTCTCCCAAGAATACGAATCAATCGATCCCGGGCACCAGTTCTCCTGGGACAACTCAAACTTCGAGGTGAACAAGGCTAAAAATCGATACGCGAACGTCGTGGCCTATGACCACTCGCGTGTCATACTCAGAGCCATTGACGGTGTGCCGGGGTCAGACTACATCAACGCCAATTACATCGATGGCTACAAGAAACCTAACTGCTACATTGCAACGCAGGTTGGTAATCAATACTGACTCTGCTTGTATCTTGAAAACTGCTAGTGCATAGTTCCCAAGAGTTAGCCTTTAGGCATTTAATTCGATCAACTTAGACACAAAATGCACAACCTAGGGAGGATTGTGATTTTATTAAACTTGATTAGCACGCGGCGATCGAGTTCCGAAATTTGTCGGATTAGCGAGGCTTTGGTGTTGACAGTGTTAAAATTTGCATTCAATTTAAGCGGATTGGTAAAAATGACACTTTTGCTCACCAGTTTTGTCGGAATTGAATTCCATTTTTTTTCTATTTCCTCAAAATCTGGATTTGCATTGTCCACAAATTGGGACCGCCTTCTGCATTTTGCTGCCGTAAAATTACTATTTTCAAGTCAAGTAAACATTGTTTTGCTAAAATTCATGTTTCACGTGATTGTAATCCTCAAATCAAACTTCTTTTATAAGCAAGAAAACTCATTACAAATTGAGAGGTTTTCCAACAATCTGTTATTCTACTTCTCTGCAAATTTAAATTGGCAAAATTTTTCGAAAAAAATTCAATGCATTATCTAAAATTCATTTGATTATTCGCCTAATTTGTATACGCAGAACTTACTTCACCAGACATCAAATGTAATGTTGTCTTCTATCGTTAATAAATACTAAAACAATACCGTGTTTGACAGTTCAGGTGAAACAGACTATAATTAATTAAAGAGCCACTTTCACCTGCTTCAGTGGAATAATTGTAAGTACCACTTAGCATCACGTAACTGTTTATTAAAGTCTACACATTCATCTGCAGTTTGCTTAAATTTCTAACGTGAAAAACCCAAAACTTTAAACAAGCCAGTAACTCACTTTTCGTGATTCAAGGTTGAAAAATGAGTCTGTTTATTCACATCCCTTAATCCGGCCGCTCCGCCTCTGACACAGGTTCCCCCTTTTCGCAGCATGTCACCAGCCGCGCGGATCCTCAACTCCCCCCTCATTCGCACGAATATTTATCTTGGATTATCCTCACACCTAGGTCTCGATGTTAGCGCAGTTATAACTCACACATCCGAGGTATAAATGCACACGCGTAAACACCACCCACGACACAACGACACCAACATGGTTGAGCTCTGAGGTAAACGGTTGTGTCCACGTCCTCTCCAGTCTTTTTCTTCATCACGGGTATCAGGGAAGCGCAATCGGGCCAGGGTTAATTCCGTGGCCCCGACGTGGTTCAAGACCAAATGCTGGGGCCCACAACAAGTCGGCTAGTTATTAGGTAAACTTTAGGTTTTTTTTCGAAAGAATGGAATAATTTGTCCTGCTACTGTCTAGCTGCATTAAAGATGCACACGCTCATTTCCCAATCGATGCGTCACTTCTGCCTTGTCATTTGTTTAACTTTCTTTTAAAACAGAAATTGTGTCAGACACATTTTTGTGCGACTCAGTGGAATTCACTGGCTTCTTGCAGGGTCCACTACCTGAAACCTACTCTGACTTCTGGCGCATGATATGGGAGCAGCGTGTGTCCATTGTGGTCATGATGACACGACTGGAGGAACGCGCCAGAATCAAGTGTGACCAGTACTGGCCATCGCGAGGCTCCGAGTCGTACGCCAACGGCACCATCACGGTGACCCCTCTGCCCGGCCCCGACGGACTTCTCGAGCTCGCCTACTTCACCATCCGACGATTCAACATCGCGCATTGCAGTGGAAGCGAGGTGCGCGAGGTCACGCACCTCCAGTTCACCAGTTGGCCGGACCACGGCGTGCCCGAGAGTCCGCCGATCCCGCTGCTGCTCTTCATGCGACGCATCCGACGCGCCATGGCCACAGTCGGCAGCAGGGAGTCTGTGTCGCTGGTGGGAGGCGGTGCCGCGTCGACTTCTGTTGCCTCCAGCGACTCCGATCCTGCGACCTGCGGGCCAATGGTGGTGCATTGCTCCGCTGGTGTCGGTAGGACAGGTGGGTTTTTTTTACGTAACTTTTAGTTTACGGAATGTTAACAAATGTTATTCTACTATTGTGAATCGTGTTTATTCAAACACCTTAATCGGGTCGATCCGCCTCAGACACAGGGTTGCCCTTTTTTGCAGCATGGCGCCAGCCGCGCGGATCCTCAACTCCCCTTTCATTCACGCAGATATTTATCCTGGATTAGCCTCACACCTAGGTCTCGATGTTCGCGCATTTATGACTCACACATCCGAGGTATAAATGCACACGCGCAAACCCCACACACCACCACGGCTTCGTCAAGTTCTCGAATAAATGGTTGACTCCCTGTCCTTCCGCAGACTTCATTCTTGTTGGGTAATTATTGGTAAATGGCGTCTCAATACTAATTTGACTACCGTGGGGACATGAGGCGTCGATGCACATTTAATGCTGCCACGTTGATTTTTCGTGTTTCTAACGAGTTGGTTTGCATCTTGTTTCCATGGTAGGTGCCCTGATCGCATTGGACATAATGCACGACCAGATGAAGTACGAGAACGCGGTGGATGTGCTGGGTTGCGTGACTGCTTTGCGAGCGCAGAGGAACTTCATGGTGCAAACCGAGGAGCAGTACATTTTCGTGTACGACGCACTCCTGGAAATGGCCGAAGGCGGATACACCGAGGTTCCCGCTAGGGGCCTATACGCTCAGTACAATTCCCTACTGCAGCCGGATGGAATGGGATATTGTGGGTTTGACATTGAGTTCAAGGTGCGTGAATTTGAATAAAACAGCCTACTTAATACAATTTACGTAGCATGACATACCTGCGCTGTGCTTATTTTCTGTAGAAATTGGAAAGCTTTTTCCTACCCAAGGCCAGTTTTACTTCAGCTTTTCTTCCGCCTAATAAGTGCAAAAATCGATTTTTCGAAGTACTTCCATACGAGAAATCTCGGGTCTCGCTGACACCTCTGCGAGGGGTGGACGGATCGGATTACATCAACGCGAGCTTCGTTGATAGTTATCGAGCACGTCGCGCATACATTGCTACGCAAGGACCGATGGCCGAGACGCTGGAAGACTTCTGGCGAATGTGCTGGGAACACAACTCCGCGATTATAGTAATGATAAGCCAGGCAACTGAACAAGGAAAGGTATTTGAGTTGAAATCACACCGCATTTTCAAGTCACAATGCAACGCCGCTTCACGAGGCTGTTTGCTTACTTTGCAGGAGCACTCCTATCCCTACTGGCCTTCTAAACGTTCCGCTCGATACCAGCACTTTGTTATTGATCCCATGGTGGAATACAATATGCCCACATACACCCTCCGGGAGTTCAAGGTCACTGATACTCGAGACGGTGTTTCTCGCACTGTTCGTCAATTCCAATATACGGAATGGCCCGAAGTCGGTGTTCCAAGCAACTATGAGTCTTTTATAAACTTTATTAATCAAATCCACAAAACGAAGGAACAATTCGGACAGGATGGCCCCATTACCGTGCACTGCGGGTTTGTTACAAAATTACATTTACTTGAGCTCAATAAGTAGTTAGTTACTCACTGTCGTCCTTTTCTCCTCTAGCTGTGGATCGGGTCGAACTGGTGTATTCATACTCTTATCAATAGTTCTTGACCGTCTCCGATGTGAAGGCGTGGTTGATATTCTTCAGACAGTTCGTCTTCTGCGCACACAACGCCCTGGTATGATCCAGTCGTCGGAGCAACTGCAATTCTGCTACAAAGCGGTCCTCGAATACATCTCATCGTATGTACGATAAATTGCGTCCATCGTCCATCCTCTCCACGAATTCCACCTGGCGCGTTTGTGTTTCCATGTGTCCGATTCCTTCTTCTTTTCCTTCTTCTCTCTTTGTATATTTTTCATTTACTGCTTCCCCTTTTCACTCTACCTTAATGCTCAGCTTCTTGCTCCAGCGACCTACTTCGAACCATTCAAGTCAAATCCAGTAAAGTGTGATATACATTTATTAAAGTAACTCGTTTAACAGAGTTTGAGTGAAGTTTCTCTTACAGACCTTGCAAAATGTGCTTCGACCCCACTAAAACTCTGGCAGTTATTTGCTGCTCTCTAGATTTGTCCTCTTCAAATTTAGTAAAATTAGCCTACAGATGCGGTGACCGGCACAAACGTTAGATGTCCAGCGTTTTAGGACAAGTTAAAACACCTAGGTTTTGTGTAGTATGGTAAATTTCAGACCAGTTAAACTACAGCTGGTTGTAATTTTTGTAGGTGTATCATACTTTGGTAGCGCATCTATTTGATAACTGTCGCCTAGGCCGCAGTACGGGTACCCATCCTGGTAGGTTGACGTGTCAGCAGGGGATTTAAGTTGTATATTCCCCCTTTAAAAAATTACAAATTACACCCCTGCAATGCTCTGTTAGATACGATATGTGTGCATCTACAAGCCATAAATTGTTGGTGTGCAAAATTTAACTTCAAGCACTGTTTGTGCCGTTTTCCTCGGCACAAACAGTGCACAAGTAAAACTTCGCAATCTTTACTACAATTGAGACTCTAAAGTAGGTTTCGTTTGCTTTGAGATGAGGTGAAAACATAACGTCAATTTTCAGAAGGCATTTTACCATTGTAGAAATTTTTTGCGTGATTTCTATCGCCATAGTTTTTCCAGTTAACATTGCAGTGCTTTTTAATTTAATCTTGGGTGTGTCAGCATTCCCCAAAATCCTGTAGCTCTTACATCATTGCGAAGCATCGTTCGATTAATTTGATCCGTTTGACCAGAAGGTTTCTCGTATCAAGTGCTGCAGTTTTGTGTAGGTGTTAACCTCATTTTTAAGCCGTCAAAGTCAGTGACTTGCAGATTCTTACCGGTTCTGGATTTTCTTCCTCTCTTTCACAGGAAGTCATGTCTGACTTTTTTCAGGGTCACGTGTGCTTGTGGCATGCATCTTGATTACTGAAAACGGCAGCGTTAAATCGTGAATGCGGTTGAACCTTGTACGTTCCTTGGGATTCAACTATATAACTTCAGACCCTGAAAACGCTTTTTGGTGGAAGGCCATTATGTTCAGTAAAGTTGAATTGAATGATCACGTGTCAGCCCTTTTGAATAATGCAATAGGACACAATTCCTTTAAAGACACCTCAGGTAGCCTCTTGTGAATCGTGTTTATTCAAACCCCTTAATCGGGTCGCCCCACCTCCGACACAGGGTTCCCCTTTTTCGCAGCATGTCGCCAGCCGCGCGGATCCTCAACTTCCCCCTCGTTCGCACGGATATTTATCCTGGATTATCCTCATACTTAGGTCTCGATGTTAGCGCAGTTATGACTCACACATCCGAGGTATAAATACACACGCGCAAACCTCACACACGACACAACGACACCAACGTGCTTGAGCTCTGAAGTAAACGGTTGTGTCCACGTCCTCTCCAGTCTTTTTCTGCATCGCGGGTATCAGGCAAGCGTAATCGGGCCAGGATTAATTCCGTGGCCCCGACGTGGTTCAAGACCACATGCTGGGGCCCACAACAAGCCTTTAACCTGCTTCTTTTAGCGAGTCAACATATCTAATTAAAGGGTTTCGACAAGAACCATATTCCTTTACTGGACAAGCCTTACTTCGATCTGTGATATTTTTAATTCTTCTTAGGATGCAATCGGATAATTAGCGTCTCCTCAGCTACTTTGTACCCACAAAATGATTGCAGCACTGAGGTGAATTGGGAAAGTCCATAGACGTGAAGTTAACTGCGAACAAGTTGATGTTGATGAATGTCGTAAATGCAGCATGCGAATATACCAACGTTTCATTGTACAGGGTGACACTTAACAAAGGCATTTTGAGGAAGATCACATTGCATAAATGGGAGGCCTTAAATCAATGCTATTTAAGGAAAAGAATAGTCTACTGAATTGTGTTTAAGAAGAATGATATGCCTGCGCAAAATATGGATCGTTTGCTTCCTAAGGCTGCTAGTAATCTTAGCTTTTACTGCGCCTAATAAATGCAAAAATCGATTTTTTTGAAGTATTTCTCCCTGACAATTGTCCAACCCGTTGTTGCGCAAGGACCAGTGGCAAAAACACAAAATGACTTCTGGTGAATGCATTGGGAACCATAACTTGCCAATTGAGCAATGATAAGCCAGGCGACTGAGTAAGGGAAGGCGGTTGAGATGAAATCACCTAGAACCTGCGACCCATAATTGGAGAACCTCGGATTGTAGAGATCTTAGCTCGGGTTATGACTGAATTGAAGATGATCGTATTACGATTTCTCTTAATGCACTGACAATCAACACCATCTGCAGAGGTCAAGATTCGAAGCAGCGTTATTGCACAAACTACAGATGTTGAACAATGTTTAGCTCAATGAGATTCTACCTGATGGTAATGTAGCCGCAAAGGCAAGGTCTATGTTGTAGTTGTATCTGGATTCTTAATAATGAAACCAACTTTTGTTATTAGCATGAGTGTAGCGCTAACAGGAAGCCCTCTTGCAAGATTTTAGTTTGAAATAAAACCATGACTAATTCGTTGATATAACTTTGGTTGTGCTTAATTCAACTTAAGTAAAATGACAGGAAAAAACCACAGCAACGGGCTCCATATCGATTACAATTTAGAACCATTGTGCAGTGTAAGATGAATTGCGTAAATATTGATTCAGATTACGGGAGGCTGTGAAAAGTAGACTGGTGATTTTTAACTAGCTGGTCGAGTGTAAGGATGCCTAAATCGTGGGCACTGCACGCGACGATGTGGCTGAGCAGGCTCGCATTGCGTCCTTCACTCGCGAAATCCAGACGGGTGGTGGGTGGGGAGGTGTAAGTCATTTGCATGTAGAAAGCACTTTGGTTAAAAGAAAAAAATCCGATTTCTGTACTGCAACTGCAGTTAAAGCTAACAGAACTAGACCAGCAAAATAGCCGCCCACATTTCCGTCACATAAGCAGGCGGCAGTTTGCGTAGCAGGACAAAACCTTTTAGCATAAATATTGATTACCTTCCCTTAGCAATGCATGCTTAGGGACTGAATGTTTGCATTTTGTTTAGCGCAACTTTATTGGTTAAATGCAACGCCAGTGTCCTTGTCATTGGCGTTGTGTAATTACAACTCGCCGTGCACTTTAAAAACGCAGCCCAAAAATTCTCTCCTGCGCAATCCAGTGAGTAGGCTATTGGTAAGAAGTTAACCCTAGAACGCTATTAAATGCTGCAATGTATTTGTGTCGAATTGCTTTACTGAGGGTTAGAGAATCCGTAGTTGGGACAGTCTTATCTCGCATACATTTTTTTGTATCAAATGCCCAAAATACGTAGAAAGGAAATGGGGCTCGGAATCTTTGCTATCGTCCATTCAACATTATGACTATCTGGTGGCTTGCGTAATCCAGAAGGTGTGCAGTCCCTCTAGTTGTGCCTGATTCTGACCATGATTTGCAGTTAGACATGCTTGCTCCCATTGGAGTACCAGATATTTCCCTCTGCACCATTTCGTCCGGGACAAACTAGGTAGAAACGATAAATCTGCTAAGCTCTTGGGTGGACTTGCTACCACCGTGCCCAAATATCACCAACCAGTTCTAATTTGTATAGGCGAGTGAAAAGAACGCAGTCAACTACTTTCAATTTCAACAATACAAAGTACCCAAAGAAGCAATATGACCTGAAGGAGAGACTATTCTTTGCTAGATAACTTAACTAAGCCTTCTGTGGCGTGTGAGTGTACTAAGTGTACTGCATAAGTCGTATGTTTTATACTAATATACTAAGGAATGGAAGACGAAAGCCAAGTTTAGCGAAAAGACCCTATCGGGACCATGAGCCATGCGTCGTTGATGAGGCTAGAGAGTTGACTTTTCCATCAGAGCGGAAAACATTTTCCACGTCACACAAGTCGAACCAGACGATCACCAATTGCCAGCTCGTAGAAGGTTGGCATGCGTTCAAAGTCGGGGTGACCAATTGAAGTCTTAAAACACGCCGGGGCCACTGCGCTAAGTCGGGCCTGATTGTGCTGCCCTGACACCCAACCGTTTACGAGGTAGCTCGACCGAGTTGTGTGTGGAAGTGCCCAAGTCGTGTATGTCTGATACAATTTACTTGGGGCCATGTGGATAAGGCGGTGTGTCTGAGTCTATGACGACCAGTTTGATAGACGTAAATCAACACGATTCTCTACGGCCACATTGCTTAGAAAATAACTGTTGTAGCAATAAATTGAATTCTATGACTCTGCATTTCGACACACAACGTGCGATTTGGCTAAATAAGAGCTGCGATTTTCTGCTCCGGAGATGCACAAATGTGGGAAATTTGTTAAGTGGAAGCAGGCTATGAGACGTGATAACTGCATTAATTATTGAAAATGGATTTATGCCGCACAACGACCTTTCCTAAAGTACAACAGTTTCCTTCTGCAAAATACTGAATTTCGCTATTTGTGTTCGTTTGTAATTAGGTTCAGTATCTAGATTTATTATTTTGCAAAATTCTCGGCCAGTGGTACAGTTGTATACCTCTTCCACTCCTGGAGATAAATTTATTTTCCATTTCCATAAAAGCACATGCCAGGGCGTCAACAGTCATTGCACTATCTCATCAGTGGACAAATAATGCATCTTGTACAACCCCCAACCCAACGAAAAACCTGATAGATAAGTTGCCCTACATTACCAATTAGCCAAATTCTAGGGTTTACAACCAAAAATTATCAACTCCCTGTGTTAAAATTGCCTCCCTGATGAACTAGTACTTACCTTGTTGCACATGCCTATATGTTAAG